CACTGGGTTCGATCCTTAGAACCACATAAAAATAAGTAAATAAAATCAAGGCATGCTGTCCATCATCAAGTACAAAAAAAAAAAAAAGAAAAGAAAGAAAAATAAAAGAAAAAAAAGAAAAGAAATCATACGGGAAAGTGACCTAAGAGATCATATGACCAGGACTGGAAAATTGACCTGGCAGGTTAATTTGCAGATGGATGGGATTTATTTGGACTGAATTTGAATGCTTACTATTAGACTACCATGCACATTCTAATTAATTGCTGAGCCTCTAGGGATACATATATTCATAACCTCTGATCATTCCCAAAGGTGTAAGGTAAATGAATTGAATTCAGATGTCTAAATCTGGAATGGAGAGATAAGAGAGAACACATTATTTTCATTAAGCCCATTTAAAAATGAATAAGAAAACAATAGAAAATCATTCAAGCTAAACTATAATAATCATTTCAATTCTTTACTTTCCCTGTGTCTTCTACTTTTTCATGTAACATGTTTGCTTTCCCATTCACTGATTGACGGGTGGCTTAGTTTAGCCAATAGAATATCCACAAACAAGCTTGGAATGGGCATTGGGAATTGCTCTCTCTTGCACCTCTTCTATCACCAGCAGAACTGGCCTAGGCTAGCTTGTGGAGGATGAGGAACAAATGGAGCAGAACCCAGTTTCCCATGTTGGCTCAGGTGAAGTCTGTCCAGATCAGTGGCAGTAAGTGGATATGTGATTGAGCCCATCCAAGATCACAGAACCATCTAGCCAAGCAATGTGAGGTTTGGAAGTTGTTATGCAACAGTCTTGGGCTACTAGATAAATGGTATAGCAATTAAGAGCTTCCATTAGCACTAAGGATCTAGGAAAAATGAGACTGTAAAATCAATGGTACTGGTTACTGGGAAAGAAATTAGAAAACTTTTGTATCAAATTGGTTTTAAGTCTTGAAGCTGAACACAGACCTCAGAACATTTCTATTTCTAAAGTACAAGAGTCAAATATGTTCTAAATCTAGTAGAGGGATAGATCTAGGGCCATATTTAAGCAATGTTTTAATTACAGTTAAGTATTAACAAGAAAATATTAGATTTTTTTTCATTTTGTTTTACATGCATACTTATTTCATCTTTCTCACTGCTTAGAATTATATATTTTAAGGAAAATTAAATTTTGTAATAAAATAATGTAACTGAAAAGTTTGATGCTAGCTCTCTTCACAAACTGACTGCTGAAAGCTTAACTTTTTTTGGAATATGAGGCTGGAACCCCAGGAATTGCTGTTATAGTGGAGGAAGATTGTGACTGCCAGAAAAATACCAAGAAAACAAATAGCTTCTTAGGTGCTTGACAACTTAGGAGATGATGAAGATTATTACACTTCCTCCTAAGACCATGAGTAGGAGCATTTAAACTAAGTAGGCTGAAGACTAGAATTCATGCCAAATGAATATTTGATTATCTATAGGTACCAAAGGAGACTTGTTCCACATGTTCATTCCACATAAATAAAGAAAATACAGAAGTGAAAATCCTATTTACAAAACGTGTGAATTGATATGAAATGTCAGAGAGAGAGAGAGAGAGAGAGAGAGAGAGAGAATGCCAAGGAAACACACAAACCTTTGGGAATCTCTGATTTCAAATATAAAAATCCCACAGCAAAGAAAACTGAATTTTGATTGTGGAGGGCTGTTTCTGGGTGAGTGGGCCTAACCAGTGTTCACAGAGGGCCCCTATAAGAGTGAGTTCTCTGTAACAACAGCTTTCAGACATTTAAAAAATGATACATATTTCCTTTCTTTCTTTTTTTTTCTTTTTTTTTTGGGGGGGGGAGTACTTGAGATTGAACTCAGGGGTACTCAACCACGGAACCACATCCCCAGCCCTATTTTATATTTTTTATTTACAGACAGGGTCTTACTGAGTTGCTTAGCACCTCACGGTTGCCAAGGCTGGCTTTGGCCTCCTGATCCTCCCATCTCAGTCTCCCAAGCTGCTGGGATTACAGGTGTAGCCACGATGCTGAGAAAAAATGACACATATTTTCTATCATGGCCCAACACTCACACATACACACGTGCATGTGCAAGGACACACATGCACAGTGTACATATTTGTATGTATATATGCATGCTTCCTTTTGAAAATACAACACACACAAGCTTCTTGAATTATAGCAGAAACTATCCAAGTTGTCTAAGGATAGTCTATTTTGTGGCAAAATTATCAAGTGCATTCTAAAAATAAGAATATACTACATAAGAGCCAAGTTATTCTAAAAGTCAGCATTGCAACATCTCTGAACATTTAATTGCACAACATACTTACATAGTATTATCACAAGAGCATTTATGTAATCACTGTGAATCTTTTAATTGTATTGGAGATGCAGATTTTCTAGAATTGCTACAGAGGCAATAACTCAGTCTTGGTTTTGCTCATTTTAAAACCTGCAGCTGTGAGATTTGTCATTAGGGTATAATGAACTAATAAAGTCCTATCTTGGAATGATGTTTGCAGAAAGCCCAGTATAATCATGGACTGAATGAGTCAACCTATATGTCATTTTTCTAAAGAATATTGGAATCAGCACAGCTCAGCCTAAACCTATCAACATAAACCCTACTGAGCAATGGCATTGAAATATGCAATAAAACACATACAAACAGTCCCTTCATGATTAAAAAAAAAAGAAATTCTTCTCTGGAGATTGCTCCAGAGTTTAATGATGGTAACAAGTTGTAATTTGCTAAAGAATGACTAGAATTCTTTTAAGAGTATGAAAGTATCCATGTGTGTAATGTATTGGTCCACATTAAGTACCAGCTGTCTGGAAATAAAGACACACATTAATAGTTCTTTATATTCTTGCTAAATTTGGAAATGTCATCTATTTGGYAGCTTTTTTCTTCTTTAAAATCTTAAAGAATGGGAATCCCACTCTTTTTTTAAATTTCTTGTGCAGTTTAGTATGAGTTTACTGAATACATTTTCTCATATTTAAAAATGAAATGAGACATATCTTCTATGTGTATATAATTTAAGAACTTAAATTCTACTTGCTCAATACATTATAATATATTTGGAATACATTATGAACATAGGAAGCTGATATCTTCTATGGTATTTTCATAAAATCCTAACAACTAGAGCCTTAATTTACTAGGTGGCAAAATTTGTTATTTCTGATTCTCACATAGCATCAATATTTTATTATTTGAGGAATGATAGAATTTTACTTGTGATTTTTAGCTTAATTCTTTTTATTTATTTATTTATTTATTTTTGAGAGAGAGAGAATGAATTTTTTTTAATATTTATTTTTTAGTTTTCGGCGGACACAACATCTTTGTTGGTATGTGGTGCTGAGGATCGAACCCGGGCCGCACGCATGCCAGGCGAGCGTGCTACCGCTTGAGCCACATCCCCAGCCCTAGCTAAATTCTTAAACTGATTTTTGATGTCTCAGTGAAAGATTCTAACACAACGTATTATTCATATTACTGAGACAATATGAAACTTTTTGCACATTTCTTAGTAGTTCTGTGACACACGTTTTGACTCATTCCTACAGAATATTCATGGATGCTAATTTGAAAAAACTAGACAACAGAAACATTCCAAATTTGAACACTTGGCTTTACTGATGTATGATTATTATCAGTTACATTATCTCATGTAGCATTACATATTGCAGATTTAGGAAGTTTTTATGCTCAGGATTAAGAAAACAAATGAGTCATAGGGAAGAATTATCTAACCTCTCTTTATCAATTCAAAAGCCTAGTTGATATGAAGCTAGTATCAAAAAAGACAAAACAAACTTGTCAGTGGAGACAATCCARCAGACCTATCTTCGACACAGACCCAAACACCAGAACTGATCTGGTATCCGGCAGGATAAGTCTTTTGGTTGCATTTCTCAAGGTACATTTACAACTCGAACTGTTTGGAACCAAAATGATTTCTAGCTCTCAATAGGTTCAGTGAAGAACCATCTATTAAGCTTCTAATATCTGTTAGACTCTGCAGACCCTGTGCAGAGAAACAGAAAAGAGTTTTGAAAACTCAGACCCTGATCTGAAGAAATTCCCATTGTTATTAAAGTCAGTTGACATCTTCCTGAACACGCATCTCACTGCTTTCTGCTGTTTGTGTACAGAACGTCTAGGAGAATCAGCAGATGCATTTTTTCTTCTATTTCATGTTTAATAACAGTGATTTTGATCAAGCCTCCTTCTTGCTGCCTTGAACACTTTTCACTGTCAAATAAAGTATTGCATTAAAAAAATATTACCATGGCACTTTGTATTTTATAGTTTGGAAACAAACCTAGTCATAGACCACACTGCTCAAGAAGCAGTTTCAAATTATTATTACTGTTAGCAAAAAATTTCCATTCTAAGGCCTCAGGCCTTTTACTTTCAGCTTAGAGGCCAGTAGTATGTCCAGCCGTCTTCTTCCTGCCTCTGTCTTCATGCTACAATTTCTACTGACATTGCTGTTCTTCCAGCCCTCCATTCGTTGAACTGATTAACTTCTGGTAGAACATTTATAAAACTAAACCAATATATCATTCATTTGCAAAGTACCAGGTAATATTGGAAACTGAACATACATTCAGTTTGTTAATAATGCCAATATTAATGCTACCATTGTCACCTTGATTGTTAAAAGGATGTAAAAAAAAATACAGTATATTATGGAGCTAATGATTCTAGAACCATTTCAAATAATAAGTGTTCCTTCCAGTTCTAACAGGAAAACCACAAGATTTCCTTGGCAAATGAGAGAAACTGCACATTGCTCATCACAGAAGAGTGTATAGATGCTCAGCTGGAGAGGAACATAAGAAAGAATCTCAAACTTAATTCTTTGCACTTCCTTCCATTCATCTAGACTTGTGAGCAACAAAACGCTCTGTGTCATCCCGACCACAAAAATGTGCCTTCAGTGGGCTACCGCTGGTTCTCACCAAGCCCATAGTGGGTAAAGGACTTACTTGCTGCTGAGGCAGCGTCTCAGGGAGTAGGAGGCCCCTCCGCCGCAGGTGCGTGAGCACTCGCTCCACGGGCCCCAGGCGTCCCATAGGCCATCGCGGTCTTCCTCGGAGCGTGCTGCCCTGGAGCTCTGCCAGAAATGAGAGGATGGTCAGCATCTTGTCCGCATGGAACCCAGAAACACGCATCCTGAAATGTGGGTGGCTGCATGTCTGTAATAGTGGCCATACTGGAAATGAAAACCAGTATCCAATTTTTTTTTTTCTTAGTACCTGGGATTGAACTCAGGGTCACTTAACCACTGAGCCACATCCCCAGCCCGCCCCCCCCCCTTTTTTTGGTATTTTATTTAGAGACAGGGTCTCACTGAGTTGCTTAGGGCCTCGCTAAGTTGCAGAGGCTGACTTTGAACTCCTGATCCTCCTGCCTCAGCCTCCCGAGGCATAGGCTACTGTACCCAGCTCTGTATCCCATTCTTAACAATTTAATAATGTGTCTATGTTTGAGGGGAGGAATATTTCAATATCCTGGGCTATAAAAAAAGAGGACAAGAGATTGCACTAAGGAAGCAAATGAAAAAGAAAGCCATAAATAGCAATCTGGGCTAAAGGAAGATTGATTACACTGAAGTCACAATTTTGCCCTGGGTGCATGCATTTATTCTTTCTCTCTTTGTGAGAAGCATCTGCTCTACAGGTATTCCTGCTTTGAGAAGCTTGACATGTGCATACCTGCACTGCTTTCCAAAATCTAACCATATGTTTTTCAAGACTCTTTTTATGAAGCAATTTATTCTTTTCAGATTGTTAAATGGAATGATCGTATGAGATAATTTTAAAATTGCAGGGACTGCTTGTTATTTACAGGCTTCCTAGAAAAATCTGCATCTGCTGTAAGGATAATTATTATTATACACAGGTCTCAATGTTGCACTTAATATTTCTCATAGAGATGAGAAAATGATAGCATTTGTGCTACAGCTAATTAGAACAAGTTCTGGAGCTAGAAACTCAGTTTGGGTATGGATTCTGTTTTTTACTATGTGTCCTTGAACCAAGTAACTTACCAACACCCTTTGACTCAATTTTACTTTTGATAAAATGGGGATGATATTATAAGCATGCCAGTACATGTACCCAGACCCTATGTAGGAGAACTAGCTAAATGAACTTAGCCCCCAACTAGTCGCAGAGTAAGGGATTGATTTTTTTATTTTGCAGTAATGAACTGCTTTATAAGATAGTTTATATAGGGCTGAGTTGTTCAATTGACTTCTCCTTGGATATTTAAGACCTATACAAATAAAATCAGAAACTTGGCTTACAATTTTATATAAATGGTTTTCTAACTGATACTTGGTTCATTTAGATTCCTAAATCATTTGAAGGGGAGGTGGGAAAATACGAACCGAGGAGCAACTCAGCCTGGGGTGGGCCAGGGGTTATATGGGCTCCAGAGCCTCCTAGTTGCCTAAACTTGGGTACCTACATAACCTCTTTATTCTTGTTTTCTTATAAAATAGGGACAATAAAGGCAACTATAATGCTGAATCCTTGTGAAGATTAAAAGTGTTAATATACAATAAGCAATATAAGGTGGAAGCAACCCAAATATTCATGAATAGATGAATGCATAAACAGAATACAGCATGTATATTCAATGGAATATTACTAAGTCTTTAAAAAGGAAGGAGATGCTGGATTGCTGGATATAGTTTCACACACCTGTGATCCCAGCAGTGTGGGAGACTGAGGCAGGAGGATTGAAAGTTCAAGTCAGCTTTAGCAATTTAGTGAGGCCCTAAGCCTAAGGTAAAGGCCCTAAGTGAAAAAGGGCTGGGGATGTGGTTCAGTGGTTGAGCACTCCTGGGTTTACTCTAAGTACCAAAAAAGGAGGAGGAGGAGGAGGAAGTAGAGGAGGAGGAGGAGGAGGAGCAGCAGCAGCAGCAGCAGCAGCAGCAGCAGGAGTGGAGATTCTGGCCCATGCTACAACAGGAATGGACCTTGAAGACATTATGCTAAGGGAAGTAAGCCAGAAAGCCAGACATATCAGTCACATACTATGTGATTCCCCTCATATGAGGTGGCTAGAGTGGCCACATTCATAGACTAAGAAAATAGAATGATGCTCACCAGGGGCTGGGGGACAAGGCATGATGAGTTGCTGTTTAATGGGTACAGAGTTTCAATATGGGAAGATGAAAAAGTTCTGGAGATGGATGGTGGGTGGTGAGGTGGTAGAACAATGTAAATGCTCTTAATGCCACTAACTGTATACTTCAAAATGAGTAAGAGAGTAAATTTTGTTATGTGTATTTTATTACTTTTATGTATATTTTACTACAACAAAAGTACATACATTTTGAAAAACACTGCATACACATGAGTTGCTATTATTGTTCAACATTATTGATGATGTTATTAACATCATTTGTAAACATACATGTGCTCTCTCTGGAAGGTTACAGGGATGTACACTGGTAAGGCATGTGGGTTTCTTCTGTTGAATGTACCAGAGTCACTACAGTCTTTTTTTTTTTTTTTTTTTTGGTACCCAGGATTGGGATTAAACTCAGGAGCACTGGACCACTGAGCCACATCCCAGTCCCTACTTGTGTATTTTATTTAGAAACAGGGTCTCACTGGGTTGCTTAAAGCCTCACTTTTGCTGAGGCTGGCTTTGAACTCAGGATCCTACTCTCTCAGCCTCCCAAGCTGTTGGGATTACAGACATGCGCCACTGCACCTGGCGAAATCACTGCACTCTTAGGGTATCATCTCGTTGAAATCCCGACTTTTCTACCATGTTACCTTGCAGCCACCTGTGGTATTACATCTCCAGGGGCCTGTGAGTTGCCAGCAATATTGGGTTACTATAAAATGTGGCATACACCTGGTAACCCCAAAGTCTATCCTTTCTATAGGAAGTATTTATTGAGCTCCAAAGCCTGAAATTTAGGATTAATAAAACCAATCTGTAATCATTATAATGCAAAGTACCCTGGTTTTTAGAAGTTAACTAGTGAGAGAGAAAGTCCTATGCCATTGAAGTATATGTACTTAAGTCTCTTCTTCTGAAGCCCATTAAAGTCACTCCTCAGATTTGCAAAAGTTTACTGTACGTCTCCTGATACCCTTTGTGTTTTCTCTGTGTGACTAGAAGATGGAACTGTTGACAGAGGCTCAGTATTTTCCTGATGAAGTTACTATTTGTGTGACAAACATATATTGGTATAATGCCATTCTCCTTTTTTATCCAAATTCAAAACGACTGAGATGAAACCAGTATCACAAAAGCTAGGGTTTGTGCAGTAATGGAAGTGTGATGAGTGAATGCAAACTTTGATGCTATTCAATTAAAACCATCCAAAAAAATCCTACATGGAGCATTTATGTATGAACTGTATTTCCCTGTAAAATAGGAATACCAGGATGCCAAAACCTTAGAGAAGTTTCCCCTGGCTGTTCTCCGGGTAAGATCTTTAGGAAATGATGTACGGTTGTGATTTTGTTTTTCTACAAAAATGAATTGTTTCAAACTCTGTGCTAAAGTTGCTTGGTATTTTTCATGTTTTGTCTAAAGAGCACTAAAAGCCTCTACGGTGACATTTTGCTGACTAAATATCTTACAAATTACAAATTCAGCACAATTAGTAAGTGCCCACATTGCTTTGAAAGAGATCTCACATTATTCTGGAAACAAGCATGGGCCTCTGTCTCAAAGGGGAACAAATTCCAAGTTTTCTTTTAGCTAGTGGAATAAACATAATTCATTTCAACTGAATCCATGTTTAATGTTAGAGAAAGTGATTTTCCTCTTCTTTAACTGTGCCAGACTTTTACATCTAAAACCAGAAACAACATTTTCACAATGTCTTTCAGTTCGTTTAAAAACTAGCAGTATTTGCTTATTTCAGTCTATAAGATGATCTTCAATGTAAACAACTTTTGTGTCTGGTCTGGGTAGAATTCATGTTTATTTCTCTCTTTCTTTTGAATATGCAGTCTATTTGACTTTATTGAAGCATTTTTTAAGTGTAAATTTTGAATGGTATCTATTTTGGGAAACTGAGGCTTGAGGGGAAAAAAAAGGAATAGAAAATGGGCTACCTAAAAGCAATATCGATTGCTTCTGAAACCCAAATTCTAAGCTTTTCTATATAACCAAGACAATATTTCTCAATCTGATTTTTATCACATGAGTGGAATATTTTAATTTAAATGCCTCAAAAAGAAAATTATAGGTGCTGTTAAACACAGCAATTAAGAGAGTACRTTTCCACAGCAATGTTATGTGAGATGATGGTCTTGAGTTCTTTGTGTAAGCCAGTGTTTCACCAGTAAGAGATCTATCAAAACAAGTCAAAAGCACATCTGATAATAAATTTGAGGAAAAACCCTTTTCTTAGTATAGCATTTATTTTACTTTATAGCTATGGGATGGGTGAAAATGAACAATGGGCATCTTTTGAGCTAGCATTTGAGAAACTAGCAAACACTGAGAGAAGAAAGGCCTAGATCTTGAGTCCATGAAAATGATGTCTTGAGTTATTCAACTTAGAGAAACATCATAGTCATTTCTAGATCTTTGGTGCCGCATATTGATCTTTAAATGTAGTTTTTGATGAAGATTCTTAAATCAATGCTTTCTTGTTGAAAAACTCAGCACCCAATGCCACAAATACCCTTGAACCATTCCTCCAGGCTAGTCAGGAGGGACTAAACTTCTATAAATGCCAGTTGCATGGAATACAGATTTGGTTACAGTTTTTTACATACCTCCTACATATCTTAGAAGAGATTCCCTACCTCCCTTGACCTAAGAATGGGGTCACTTTCTCACCATTGCTTACTTATCTAAACATGGTTTTCATCTGATAGTTTTGCGGATGATTTCAGAACCAATTGCACCAACAAAGTCTCAGGCGGAAGATCCAAGGCTGAGAGCTACAGTAGTTAAATGCTTTGAGCAACCACATGAAGTAGTATTTTCTCTGYTTTTCCCTGTCCAATAGACACTTAACCTTGGAATGACCTCTAATGTACCACTTTATCCAGAAACCTCTTTCCCTGGAACCTGGACAGGTTATCAAAGACTTATGGGATTGGAGGATAAAGCACAAATTAGCAA